CTCTTCCTGGAGGGGGCTGGGCCAGGCTATGCTCTGGGCAGGCAGCAGTGGTGCTGAGAGGAGGCTAAGGGAGGGGCTGCAGCCACCCCAAAATTCGCTGTAGCCCACCTGATGGTCCTTTCCTTGTCCTGCCACTGCCCACCCCCAGTGCACAACAGCCCAGCCTCTGCTGGGAATAGCCTGGCACTGGCCCCAGCCCACAGCTGCAGCCCGCCCCATCCTCCACACAGATCTGGAGGCACATGCCTCCTGTGCTGTCTTGGGGGTGCACACAGTGGCAGGAGCTGGGGTGGAGTATGGGATGGAACCATGGCTTGTCTGGGTGGTGGTGGGAGGCGGTGGCAGCTCCCGCTGCTGAATACACCCCTGGGAAGGTATGGGGGTGTGTACTCCAGGATCTACATGGGGCAGGCAGGCAGGATGCCACTGCCAGTTGGGGTAGCGCCAGGCTCTTCCCGGCAGGGGCTGAGCCAGGCTGTGCTTGGGGCAGGTGGTGGCGGCACTGGGAGGGGGCCACAGGGTGGCTGTGGCCACTCCAGAATTTTGTGTAGCCCCCCATAGCCCCCTCCCAGCACTGTTGCCACCTGCCCTTAGCACAGCGCGGCCCATCCCCCACAGGGAACAGCTCAGCACCAGCCTCAGCTAGCAGCAGCAGGAGCTTGCTCTGTCCCGCACAGATCTGGGGGGCCCCACTCCCTCCCCCACTGCTGGGCCAGCCCACCTTCGCCCTGTGCACAGATCCAGGGGCACATGCCCCCATGCCCTCCCAGGGTGCATGCACTGGTGGGAGCTGCCACCCCCTCCCTATACCCCCCCCAGACAAGCCGCTTGCAGCTCTGTCCTGCGCTCTGCCCTGGGTGTGCAGCCCCAGCTGTGCAGCCCGAGTCCCACTTGCTCCCTTACTGTGGGGGCCTCGATTTGTCACCCTCCCCCCCCTTAAAAGGAAGGAAAAAATATAAAGGGGTACCTGAGCTGGAACTTTGAGAGAGAAGGGGTACACTTGTTAAATAAGTTTGAAAACCCATGCTTTAGGGGGAAGTGGATGAAGTCCTTATCTGATGTCAACTTGTGGCTGTTTTCTGGCAAACTTGCTTTGTTTAAACAAAGCCTCTCTTTTAGCTGTCCAGAATCGAGTTCTCCATGCTGCTATATACCATTTTAATTAGTATGTGTAACAGGTTTGCAGCCCCAGGGGTGGCTTTAATGCACCCTGGTGGCCACATGACTCCTGCCCTACTCTGGCTTCCTGGGTAGCTTCCCTTTTCTCTTGTCTGCCATGCCTTGATGTAACTAGTTGATAAATAGGAAGGGAGGTGCTCTCAGGTCCCAGGTTGAGCCCTCATCCATCTTTTGGAGAACAGGTCCTTCTTGGACCCCACCAGTCCCAATCCTGCCCTTCAAGTGCTACATGGACCCTCTTGGCTCATATGTGCTCCCAGGGCACCAGTTGCCTTAAGGGCTATTTATGGTCTTCTCTGCCCCTACAGCCATGCCCATGCCTTGGAGATGTCAGGGTTAATCACTTGCAGGTCAGGCCTCCTTAGCCCCTCCACCTTTTTGCGGGCCTTGGCCTTCCCAGCCTCCAACTCTTTCCTCTAGGTGTCCCCCTTAGCCTCGACCTACTATGCCAGACCTAGCTTCTGGGCTCCAGCCCCTGTCTTGCCCCTTCTCAGGCTCTGGGCCCCTGGCCCTCTTGGCTTCAGACTACCTCAGTCACCTTTCCATGCTCAGCCCTGTAGGCTTCATCTGTCTATCTCCGGAGCCTGGCCCCTAGCAGGGCTCAAAACCATAGGTGGCAGAAGGCCAGGGATAACAGGGCTTAGCCCCCCCAAACTAATTTTGTGGCAGCTGGTGGCAGTGCCACACCCTACTGCCATAGCACCACACCCAGAGCCCCTGTCACACACTTCGCTGCTGCTGCACATATAGCACCAGCATGTGCCAGCCCGCACAACAGCCCTGCAGGAGGGAAGGGCAGGGCTCGGATAGGTGCACTCTGCACCACCTAGCGCCCCCCCAATAATATTTTATCTCACCACTTATGATCAAAACTGCATATGCCCCTCAGGCATCAAAGTGACTTGTGCCTGCCCTAGGCAGGCTTAAACCTTCATGTACCTTCAGGCACTCTGTGGTCTCTAACTCCCCCAATAGCCATACCTGGTCTTCTGGTTTAAACCAGAAATCAGAATACAAGGCCACTGGCTATAACTAAACTAGCTCCACGCCGGGTTCAAACATAAACATCAGCATAGGCAACACATAGGGGAGGACACAGTGGGGGCGGGGGGGGAGAGACATGTGCTTTCCACCCCACCAGGGCCAGCGCCAGCGCCAGCGCCTGCAGAAGCTTGCCAGCTCCACCCCCAATGCTGGCAGCACCTGCAGGTGCCCCCCCCAGACTCGGGAGGCTACAGTCGCCCATGAACACTAGCGCACTGGCTATACAACAGAACTCTCCCTCATACTGGGTTATATTTCCCTGCAAGCCATCAGATCTTTATGTTCAGTTCCCAGCATAGTTCAGGTATTATCAGCCAGTCACTCTCCTGCAGTCATCCTGTTCAGGAGCTCTTCTCCCTGCCACCTGTAAGGCCAGACTGATTGCTTGATCTCAGAAACTGGCTTTATGTGCCTCCTCAACCCTGCCCCTTCCTGTTAGGTGACTCTAGTCACCCACAGGGGTTTCCACTGGGGCCTGATGGCCAGGGATCCTGATTTAAAAAAAAATCCCCAATTTTCAGATTAAAAAAGTAACCCCAAACCCACGTTTTTTCTAAGATTAAAATGAAACACCACTAATCTCTCTCTCTCTCTCTTAATGAAATGCTGGATGAAAAGCATTTTAATGAAACGCTGGATGGAGTGGATGGGTCTCCATGGAGACTCCCCCAAGACCCCTGTTTCATTTCAATGGTGGAAGAATATGAATTTGGGGTTACTTTTTTAATCCAAAAATTGGAGATTTTTTAAAAATCAGAGAAAACCTGGATCCCCGGTGATCTGTGCTCCTTATTTCAGCCATGTTGAATTGGGGACTACCCTGGCAAGCACAGTCAGAGTGGTGAGGCCCAGAGAGGCAGCCCTGCTGCTGATCAGGGGCTGGGCATAGGCATGACTGGGACACCTGAGGGTTGATACTTATTTGCAGGGCTGGTGGTGGCACAGACAACAGAACCACAGGAACCACGTCTGCCCCCTACTTGTCAGTTCATGCCGGCTGTGAATTGGCCAGTGTGCTGGGATGGATGTCATAGGAGCGTGCGCCCCATGCCAGCCAAGGAGGAGAGCTCTGGGAGCCTGGAGGATGGAGCCTGGCTGCAGAATGGCCCCAGCAGGGGTGAAGTGACTAGAGCAGAAGCCTGCTCACCAGCCTGGAGGCTCAGGGGAGCCTCTAGCCCTAGGGGCCCTAACCCAGCGGGAGAGAGAGAACAACTCAACGTGATGAAGCCCCAGAGAAATGCCATCTCACCTAGAGAAGCATTGGAGTGGCAATTGTGATTTCTTTCTGGGTGGGGGGGAATCTGGGAGTACCAGCACCCTGGTGATTGGCTAAAGGGAGGGAGAGCAAGTTACTGTTAAGTTCAGTATTTTTTTCTTGGTTAAAAGCAGGCTGGACTGGCCCACCGGTCATGAGCGCTGAAGACTAAAAGACTGTGTTGGGGCCGAAACATTAAGCCTCGGGCTTGGAATGGGCTAGGAGCCATTCATAGGACTAATGTTAAGGGGATGTGACTGACTGGATGGCCCTGGGAGCAGTGAAAGAGCTTGACAGTGGCAGGCAGTGCAAGGAGAGAAGACCCCAGGCACTCTGTACTCAGCTCCAGTACAAACTGCCTAGTTAGCGGGCCCCATAGATAAAGCAGATAAGGGGCAATGGCAGAGCCATAACTGGTGAAGTGTCTCCACACAGGACAGACACAAACCATGTGGCCCTGGTTGTTGATTTAAGTCTGATACAGAGAGAGACTTTAACCTACCAGCACTGCAAATCATAATTGACCACAGTGAACTAAGCTGACTGCTGGCTGTACTACCTTTTCCCCCAGATGGTCTGTGGCCTGGCTACTCTGTGACACCTGGTTAACATATGGACGGGGTGTAAGGCAAGGAGGAGTCCCAAGGACCAGCAACTCAAGACACTTGTGAGAGCAACCACAAATAACCAAGGATCCTTCCCTCTTTCTTAAAAGATCAAGATGGAGTGGTTGTGCCCTGTGAGTGGAAGTCAAACTGTTTGGCCGTGAGACCTGGCACTCAAGAGGTGGGAGTGCCTGGTCCCGGAGACAGAACCAAGTTGGGCATGGCTGTCCTCAGGCTGTCTTGGTTCTCCTTCTCCATATAAGTCACACAGCTCTCTGCTGCTGTGCTCTCCCCTCTCTGGGGGAAAGCCGAACGCCTGGACCAGGCAGTGCCACGGGTTGGATAAAATTTTTTGGCGGTCTGGATCCAGCCCATAGGCTGTATTTTGCCCGCCCCTGGGTTAGGTAGGAAAGGGATCCTATTCTGGATAAAATATGAAGACCAAGGATCCTGGTTTTCTCTAATAAAAAAAAAAAAAATTCTCAAATTTTGGTTTTAAAAAAGTAACCCCAAATCCACATTTTTTTTTCCATAATTAAAATGAAACACCACTAACAGATAGATTGAAACACTATCTATCTATCTATCTATCTATCTGTTAGTGGTCTTTTATTTTAATCATGGGGAAAAATGTGGATTTGGGGTTATTTTTTTAAAACCAAAATCTGAGATTTTTTTTTTTTTATCGGAGAAAACCAGGATCCCTGATGAAGACAAAACCAGCAGCCTTCAGCAAAATGGAAATGCTGAAACCTACCTGTAAGTAGTACCCCCGATCTGTGGACATGACCCATTCTGCAAAAGCACATTATATAGCATGTGAATTTTGTCAGCTGTAATACTTTCTAAGTATTTTTATTCATGGAAGCACTTAAAAACAAGGAGTAGCAGAACTGACGGAAAAGTTCTATGTGACCTTCTTCCAGCTAGTAGCAAAGATTTAGAACTGGTTTGTAAACCATATGTAGTATTATGTAAAGCTATTAACTATCCAGGATTTACAGAGACGGTCCTGAATTTTAGGATTGTATGTTGGTGTCCTCAAGGGCTCCATGAAACAGGACCTTCTTCCCAAATTTTAAAATTTGCTCTTGGATTGGGATCTGGCAGTATCCTGATCAGAAACAACATTAGGGTAGGTAAGCTATCTAATTACATGTCTTCCAGCTGGTCAGGACCACCCAACATTTCAGTAGCAGTCATGAAAGTGACCGGCAGCATTTAATTTCACACCTATTGTTAGTGTGGCCATTTGGTAAAATTAGGGCCCCCTCCCTCCCCTACCCAACCTGATAGAACAGATGCAGGAGCAGGTTTTATCTGCTGAAATTTTGTGGCACAACGTTGTCTGACGTGTTGGGAATGCAGTTACTCTATTTCTGGTTCAAGAGGTAGCTCACAGCTATCTCCCAACCCAGAAGTAACATTGGGGTTGAGACAGTGCTGCCCTCCTACCAGCTAAGTTGCCTTTCCTCTCAGCCCTGTGTGACCATCACTATTAGCTCTGCTGAATGAGGTAGATCAAACCAAAAGCAGCATAGCAGTGTTCACACAGTACTATGCCCAAGCTAATTAGCTCAGCCTTATAGCAGAATTAATTATTCTGTTCATGGTGCTGTACTACACTGACTGCAGTAACTGGAACATGAAGCAGTATGAACTGCCTTCAGTTCTGTTACTCTGTGGAGTGTCTGTGATTCTGTCCCAGATTTTTTCCCCCTGAAAGCTGGTTGCTTTTAAGTATTGGGATAAAGAAGTGGTTAATAGATTATGTGCTCAAAGGAAAGTGAACCAATGAATCATGGTCAGAGTTGAAAGGAGTTCTTGTATATGTGCAAGTTACCAATCTGACAACGTACCCAAGTGACATCTTAAACAAACAATTTTTAGGGGACTTCCATCATAACACTGCACAAGTGCTATTTCTAGCATAGTGAACATTGATAGATAGTTTGGAGTATCATATAGCAGTTCAGTACCTGAGTTATTTTTGCTTGTGTGCGCTGCTCCTACAGTGTTTGGCTATCAAAAGTGCAGCAACAGGGAAAAACTGACTTTTAGAAGTAATCCAGACCCTCAATTTAAGTTTTTGAATCCCTCTCTTGTCCCATCCCACTAGAACCCTTCCCAAGCCTCTACTTTCTCTTATTTCTTATGCCACTCATGCCCACAACTACATTAATCCTTTTGCATCATGTACCAGGGATAGACTTTTTAAATAAGAACATAAAGTCTATTCCCGCATGCTATGTTTTTTCCCTTGCCCAATCCCACCCACAACAATATTTATTTCCTTCGCATCCACTAGCAGGGCCTGTGGGTCTCTGTGGTATTGCAACTCCATTGCAGGATTCTATATGCAATCCTTACATTTCATTTAATCTCAGAACAGCATTTATAATAAGAATCTAGTCACTGCATTTAACTGGAATAAAATCTATTTTATACAAAACTAAAAATAAAATACAAGAGTAAAATGGGAAGCTGCCATCTTGAAATTTAAAACAAGATCATAGAATTCTGATTCTATTTAAATACATGCAAATATGGGGCCTTGCAAAGTACTTAGAAAAGGAAACTTAAGTGACATTATTTCTACAAAATTTAGATTTTATCGATAGTAATAAAACACACATTTTTAATGCTTATTTTCCTTCTCAATAAAGGGGAGGGATGCAGTTTTGTTTTTTTATTTAAACACCAAAATGTTAGAAAGAATTAAGAAAGAGTTGGCAACTGAGTAGCACAGAAAGTTTTGAGAGAGTATGTTTTTTCAACTGCAATTGTTTCTTTTCATAGATAATCTTCAAAGTTGCTGGAGCCTTACCGAAGGATGAATCAATGGACATTGAAGCTGTTATTTCTTTTAGAGAATAGCAGGACTGGTCTCTTGTCTTCTCTCATTGCGCAAGTTAGTAAATACACATAAATACAGAAGTTTTACTCTCCTTATTTATCTGATTTTGGTCCAGATTTTGGAAGACTGGATGAAAGTTAGTCTTGCGAAAGGCAGCACTACAGGCAGGAAGAGTTCAAAATGGACAGTAAGTTAGACTTTCTTGAATATGGATAGTGACCCTTTTCTTTCTACTGGAAGTATGAGTAAGATTTTCTTTTCTGACTTCCACTGTAACTTAACCAAAATCTACAATTGGAGCAAGTTTGGCATAGTTCTTACCAAAGCAACTTGTTAAAGATAGTATTTTGGTTTACTAAATAGCACCATCTGCCCAAAGTAAAGAATGTAACAAGGAGAAAAGAAAGCAAGCTAACCCCTGACAGGATTTGTCTAATCCCTAACCATATACAATATACATGCTACCTTCAGGCAATTTCAAAATATTCTAAGCAAAGAATGTTTTGATGGGGTGTTTGGAAATTAGGGCAGAGAGGAGAAATGGTGGAGAAGAAGGTAATATAAATACCTGTCAAAAGGCATTTCTCTGACATGAGCATATTAAATTTCTATGGCACAAACTCCCTGGGCTGCTCAATGTGACAAAGCACAGAAGAAAGCCTGTTTAATCCACTATTCTATTTGACCTTGATCAATGGCAACTACTTTTAAGAGAAATGCTAGAATCCCAATGACTAGGAAATGAAAAGTACTCAGTCCAGAGAGGCCAAGTTTATAAATGTTGATGGGAACATTTGGTTTATGCAAGGAATTTTATCCCACCTAAGGTCTATGTACTCATGATTAGTAAAAATACATCCTCACTCTTGGAATTCTGTTAGATGATGACTACAGAAGCACTGAATTTCACAGCGTAATTAATTATATGACACTTAAACTGAAAAGAAGAATGTGGTTTTTATTATGACCTTCCCCTGTATTTTGTGGAGACATAAATAAAAACACAGCCCTTGTAAAACCACAAGCAGAGAGAGGTAGTTAGCTTTTAGTCTGAATCAGGCAGAAGACAGGATAGATTTGCACCCTATAATCCAGGGGCGGGCAAAATACATCCTGTGGTCTGGATCAGGCCCACCAGGCCATTCTATCTGGCCTGTGGGGCCCGTCCAGAAAATAATTATTACTGGCCCTTGACAGCACCTCTGAAAGCTGACAGGAGGCCGGCTTTCAGAGGTCACATGCCATGGGACCAGTCAGGCTCTGTGCTTCCACCTCCCTGGGCTCTCAGCACTCCAGCTGGGAGTCCCATGTGGAGGCACCACGCACAATGGCGTGCAACTGGACAACTGGTGAGTGGGGAAGGGAGCTCCTGCCTGCAGTGCCAGGAGCCCTGCGTGGAGGCACAGTGCCAGCTCGGCTTGGCCTGGCGGCATGCACTCCTGGCTGCAGTGTCAGGAGCCCCACATGCTGGCATGGAGCCAGACCAGCCGGCTTGGTGGTACACAGCCACTGGAAGGAGAGCTGGGAGCTGCAGCTGGTGGCATGGAGCCTGCCCAGCCCAATGGTATGTGCATGTGTGAGGGTGCACCATTGGGCTGGGTTGGGCCACTCTGTGTCTTCATGTGGGGCTTCCAGCACTCAAGTGGAGAGATGCACATGGAGGCACGGAGCCAGCACAACCCAACTCAGTGGCGCACACTCCTAGCCACAGTGCTGGAAGCCCCGTGTGCTGGTACAGAATTCAACCCAGCTGGCCTGATGCAGCATGGCTCCCAGAAAGAGAGTCAGGAGCCACAGGTGGTGGCATGGAGCCTGGCTGGCCCAATGGCACATGGATTGGGAGCCGTGGAGAATCATGTGCCATTAGGCCAGGCTGGCTATGTGGCTCTCCGCTGAAGTGCTGGAAGCCCCACATGGAGGCATGGAGCTGGCCTGGCCCGGCCTGATGGTATGCAGCTCCCACCTGTAGTGCTGGGAGCCCCACTTGCTGGTATGGAGCCAGCCTGGTCTGGCCTGAAGATGCACCCCAGTGGTCTGGGCCAGGCTGGTTCTGTGCCACCACTTGCAGCTCCTGGGACAGCCAGAGCTGCATGCCACCAGGGGGCTCTGCCTGCCGCAGGACAGGAGCGCCCCAAGGGCCTGCTGCCTGTTGTTGCTGCTGCCACCACCAGTGGGGGCTGTGCACAGTGGTGGGGGGGAACCCTACACCCACCCACACACACTTCCACCCCCTCCACAGACCCTACCCACAAACCCCACACTCGCCCACACCCCTTCACAAATCCCCCACAAACCCCTTACCCACACCCCCCCACACCCCTTCACAACCCCTGCACGCACACCCCACACACAATATATAAAAGTAAGACTTTATTTTGAGCTATTATGCAATCACCTCTATGCTATGCAAATACATGAAAATCAGGACACAACATTTTTTGAAATAATTAAAATATATTATAATAGATGTTTGATTTTTAGTATAGAATTTGTATTTTTTTCTAGTTCCAAGATGGTAAACTTTTGGAGACAAGGTAAGGGACTTCTGGTGGCAAAGGTCAGGGGTTAGAGGTGGGACTTCTGGTTTCAAGATGACAATCGGGGGGGTGGGGCAACTGTCGAGGGGCAGGGCTACCCTTGCAGCTCTTGACAGCTCACCAAAAGTCGTTAAGGGGCCCTCCAGCTGAAATAACTGTCCACCCATACTATAGACTAACTAAATCAGAGATCTATAGCATGAGCTTTTGTGAGCCTGAGCTTACTTCATCAGATGTGATGTCATCATCAGCATATGATGAAGTGAACTTGGGCTCATGAAAGCTCAGTTGATACATCTCTGATTTAGTTAGTATCCAAGGTACAAATCTACTCTCCCTTGTAAGTGATTATTTTTTAAGCTGCCTTCACAACACTGCTACTGCAGCCAGTCTCAATTTTTTTTTCTCTTCTCAGAAGGAAGTACACCCAGGCTTCTAATTACTTTAGGTCTCTGTCTCTCAAATCTTTTTTCTGCTATCACTTCTTGGAGAGGTGTTAGTGGACCAGAAAGCAGGTACCTTGACTTAATGCCAGTGACCACACTGGTAATCAACCAAAAGATAGAAGAAATGGAATGGTGTCACCTCTCCAGCCTCTCTACATATTATACCAGAGAATATGGCCCTCTATGTTCATCCTTCTCTCATACCTCCCATAGGTTGCCATGAAAAAGGGAAGATTTGGGGAAATATATACTAAAATGCTAACCAGGATGGATTCATGTGGAGCTGCACAGTGCCATAGCAACAAAGTTTGGTGCCTGAGGCAAAACCTGCAGTGGCAGCCTGCCCTTGCCCTGTGCACAGATCTGGGGGGGCACCCCCTCCCCCACGCTTGCCAGGGGGTGCATGCAGTGGCGGGAGCCGCCCTTTCCCCCATTCACGCCCCCTCCAAAACGAGCCACTTATGGTTTCCTCCCGCCCCAACCCCTATTGGCACCCTTTTGCTTTGGCACCCAGGGCGGTCACCCTGCTCGCCCCCTGCCTTGTTACGGCACTGGAGCTGCAAGAAGGCTCCACATGCACTTGGGGCGTAGGTCAGTGTGTCTGTAGAAGCTGAGGGCTGATTTTGGGGAAGGAGGGGAGCACAGTCCTTGGGTTTTCAGTTAGTCTGTGTGGAAGAGACTGCCATATGAATAGCAGTGGGAGTCAGGGTAGGGTTTGGACTCTATGTGTGGGGGAGTGCTGGTCAAACACAAGGTTTCTGCTGTGCGCTATAAGGGCTGCTAGTCACTATGAAGAGTGGTGACTGATTTAAACTGTGTGTGGGCATGTGAAGTCTGAACTCTTCATTCCACTGGTGCGAATGACCCTCTCTCCTTTTCAATGGTCTTAATGTTCCCCCAGTCAAGCTATCCTTTCTTCTGCAATTAAGCTGTCTGTTAGCTGCTCCTGGTAATCTTGCTCCTATTTCACAGACCTGCGGATTGTTTTTAACTCTAGCTAAAAGCAACTAACTGGGATGTGGAAATAGCTTTTAGTGAGGCATTGGATGCACTGCCAAGATACTTAAGGCTAGATTGTTTTACAAATCTGAAAGAGATATACATTTTATTCTTATGGTTATAGGACCAGTGAAGCAACATCTTTTTGATTATTTTTGCCTAGCTGGTTGTGTTTTTATACGCAATATATGACACAGCAAATTAATGCACGTTCCAAGAACATTATATTTGTTTCTGCTTTGATCAACTGAATAATACAGCTCTAGGCCCCTGGCATACGAGTAAATCCTCTAGCTTAGCATCACAGAAAACGAGGGTTGGAAGGACCTCCGGAGGTCCTCTATCCAACCCCTTGCTCAAACAGGACCCTCCTCAACTACATCAGCTTCTTTTGAACTGGGGAAAAAAGGCTGTGTTGTATTATACTTCCTATAGGGTCATAGAGAAGCAGGGCTGGAAGAGACCTCCAGAGGCCATCTGGTCCAATCCCCCTGCCTGGGGCAGGATCATCCTTATCCAAACCACCCCACACAAACCCTAACCCTGACACAAAACGCACAATACCTGAATCTACGTGTGTGTGTACACACACACACACACACATATATATATAGGTTCAGGGGTGTGTGCATGTAGGTGTATACACAGACACACACGTACCACGGCAGCCCACATGTGTGCGTGTGTGTAAATAAATACAGTGACGTATCAGGCCACCTGCCCGCTTTCCAAGCCCCGGGCCCGCGCAGGTGTGCCGGCGCGCAGGAAGCGATGGGAGGCGCAGCGCGGGCCGGAAGCTGGGGCCGTTGCTGGGCGCCGGGGGCTAGTGCAGCGGACGGAGCCGCGCGCCCAGCGACACGTGACAAAGGGCGGGAGGGCGCGGGGAGGGCCCAGCGGTGCCCGCTGCGAGACCTCGAGGAGGGCGGTGCCG